TTCGAATTAGGGGGGTAGTGTAGACCTGGCCTAAGAAAAGTTTTGTAAACGAATTCCAATAGTTCATGGATTAGGGACCCAATTTTAAGGGGTTCCACAGCCTACTGTATAGATTATTTAGATTATTTTTTCTATCTAGCCAATGGGAGTCAGTGCTCCGTCTAGAAGATACGATCAGAGATGCTTAGTTTTGCAGTTCTCAAACTGTGGATTTTTGTCTCCAGAGGTAACACGCTTGTTAAAGGGCAAACATGTTTTTAAATAAATAAATGAATATTTAGAGGCGAGAAATAAGACCTCAACTCTATTGTCCCTCTGCAAATTTGTGTACACAGAATCAATCCCTTACCTCTCTCTAAAAGGGCAAAGTTTCAAAAAGTTCAATGAATAGGAGATTGTTGGGGTCAGAATAGATCTGGACAAGGAGAAGTCTGGAGATAAATGTGAGAAGCGAGGGACATATGCTTGTTTTGTTAAATTATTATATGTTTGCTGTTGAAGAAAAAAATCCAGAATACTTAACGTTGTTGTTTTAGTTAAATAAAACAATTAAAATGTCTGTCTGGTGATGTTCTCCTCCTAATACAGCATGGCAAAAAAATCCTCCAAATATTAATGATCAACCTGTTGAACAGGAGATAGTTCACCTCCCAATGACTTCATAAATATCTGCTTCAATGACCTTTGGTAAATGAAATAACCAAACAATCATTCATTTTCGGATATAGCTGTAAAGCTAATTTGAAAAGTTTTCAAAATAAATCACTTTTTAAAAATGTATAGTGTGTACCTTCTAAAAATGAAACCTACATCTATCTCCGACTTGTGAAAAATATGTATTAAGGTTATAACAAGCAACAAGAATGCACTTTTATGTAGAAAACCATGATTAAATCGAGTCTTCCTGATTAATGATTTAAATCAAAACCACCCAGAAAAAAAAGAAAAAGAAGCCAAGATTAAGAACTTTGAAAATATTTTTTTCAGATATGCAGTATAGAGAGATAGCTATGAAAATGATTTTAATGAGGGGTATGTACTTCACCAACCAGCAATCCTAAAACTGTGGCCTGCTAACCCACTGGTGGTCTAATGATCTGATGGTCTATGGAGAGCCGTCTGGTCACATAGTGCCAGCCCTCATTTCCAGTTGCTAAACTGAAATAACGGCAGGTAAAAACACATTAAATACTGTCCTAATATGACTTTTCCCTACAGGCAATTGCAACATATGTTTTGTGACTGTGACCCAAAGGGGATATAATCCACAAGAAAATTATTCTAATAAATACCTCACTATGGAAAAGTCAAAAACTAATTGCTGTGGGCATTAGTCTTCTTTATGTTAGCACCTTGAGTTTCATGTAACTAGGGCAATTTCATTACAGAGAGGTAAGAAAAGAAAAAAAATGTTAACATATATCAAGATAGAATTGTAGAAGAAAAGACAACAGGCTCACTAATGTGCAAGAGTACTAAATGAATATTTAAAAGTGTTGATTTTCCACTTGTTTTTTTTTAAATCCTTTAAGCTTTACACAGGAAGATGAGTTATTAGTAGAGCACAACCCTTAACACTTCTTTCTCTGTTTTTAGGTTTTGTCTCTAGCCATCTTCCTTTAACAATAGTTTGCCCTAAACCCTGCAAAAGAAACACACACACCATTTTAAGGATAATGGTGAAATTAGTCCTAACTTAATTAACATACAGAACTAGAAAATAATCCTCAGTTCAGGCATTTCTTGCAAGCTAGGATTTGAGGGAACCATAAGAATCCACTCAACCTGACATGGAATCAAACCAGCGTGGGAGTGGCCCATTTCTTGGATGAAAGATCACTGTCACATGAAAGAAGCTCCATCATTCTCCAAATGTTGTATTTTTTTTTAAACTACATGGAAGAATCTCTTTGCTTGGCTCCTAACTGCACCAGAATTTGGACACCACAAGACCTCACACACTGTTGGTCTAAATTTCAATCTGTTTATCTAAACTTCTTCCAAGAATTCCCCACCACAGCAGGTTGCTTCTTTGACACTGCTGACCTTATAACAGTGACTCAACCTTTCCCAACTACTGCACCCCTTTCAAGAGTCTGATTGGTCTTGTGTACCCCCAAGTTTCACCTCACTTAAAAACTTACAAAATAAGACAAATATTTTTAAAAAGTGTCACAGAACACTATTACTGAAAAATGGCTTACTTTCTCATTTTTACCATATAATTATACATCAATTGGAATATAAATATTGTACTTAAATTTCAGTGTATAGTATATACAGCAGTATAAACAAATCACTGTCCATGAACTTTTAGTTTGTACTGACTTTGCTAGTGCTTTTTATGTAGCCTGTTGTAAAACTATGCAAATACCTAGATGAGTTGACATACCCCTTGGAAGACCTCTACGTACCCCTAGGGGTAAATGTACCCCTGGTTGAGAACCACTACCTTATACCACTAACCAAACAATTCAAGCTGAAAGTACATTTCCAAGACAAATATTCAAACATCAAAAGGAGCAAGTTATCCAGCCACAATTACACTGGGCAGTCATAACTTCATGCTTTCTCCAGTGAAAACCTTGTTGAATCCATGAGGTCTCTTCTCATTGGACCATTAACCTACATTGCATCTAATCACAGGAACTGGGGGCTAGAGATCTGGGGAGGTACTTTGATTCCTGAGAAAAAAGGCTGGGGACCTGTGGTAGGAGGGATCTGCAAATCAGGTCCATCTTGGCCACAGAGGAGGCATATGGATAGACCCAAATGTCTCTCTTTTTGCGGGGAGAGGGGGAGTTCAGGGGAGGATATATACAGCTGCATGAGACCTGTGATCATAGGACTGAAAGGCATCTTGAGACAAGTCAGATGTGTTAAATAGCTGGTGCAAAGTCTTCAAGGTACATCATAGATGTAAAGCCTTAGGTAAGATGAGGGTTAAAAAAAATCCCTGGTGTTCATTGGAGAAGTAAAGATATCCATGGTTGGAAGCTGCATCTGTATATCAGAAAAACAACAGATGCCATACTCTGTGGAGTACCATGTTGTATGTCTGGAAGAGACTGACCTGCCCTACCTTTCCCAGAACTGAAGAGCTGTGTAGCCTGAAAGCTTCTCTCTTTCACTAAAAGAAGCTGGTCCAAAAAAATACTTTATCTCACCCACCTTGTCTCGCTAATATCCTGGGACCAACACGGTTACAACAACACTGCAATTAACACCCCAGGTAAGGCAAACAGGGTCTTTCCAATAGCTCTTGCCTTTAGGTGAGAGCACTACCCTGATCTCTTCTGCTCTTCACAGGAACTTCAATAAACCAGACAATTATTGTCACAACATACTTCATATCAGACAGAGACATCTCCTTAATGACAATTGAGCGCTGAGCTCATGACAGGAAGGATACCGGGAGGGGGGACAGTGGAGGGGAGAAGAGGATAATGATCAGTGAAGTTCCAGGTTTGATCAGCTCCAATGTGCATGAAAAGCAGCTAGGGGCTCTGTAATAGGAAAGGAGCTCAGGAATTCACCTCAAGGGGAAAAAAAGACAAAAAGTAATGAGCCTGAAACAACTGGACTGATTACTTACACCTTTACTTAGAGGAAGGCTCTCCCAAGGTCAGTAGAGAAACAGGCAGATGAATGAAGCTCTGTATGTGGTCAGTGAGCATTTGACTCAGTTAACAGTTAGTTCTAGGTTCTGAAACAAGTCTAAGATCCACAAGCTGCACAATAGTATTGTGAAGGGAAATTTAATGAAGTAAACAGGTGTAAAAGTAAGGAATGACTGATCTCCTGGTTCCAGAGAGGGCTGAGATTTGCCCTCTTTGTATTTTTCCTCTGGTCATCTGGTACAGAGGCAGATTTAAACGATAGGTTACATACGACAGTTAGCAGTTCTACAGTTTCATAGCTAAGTTCCTTCAGAACTCTTGGGTGAACATCTGGTCCTCATGACTTATTTCTCTTTAAT